GATACCAAAACAGCCACCTGGTTTCAGCAGTTGTTTCAGGGAGTCTCTGGTTGGTGAAGAGCCAGATGCTCGGGCGAGGTGCACAGGCTCCTCTGGCAGTGGCAGAGACGGGACGGAGGTGGTCTCTACCTCATTGACTTGGCATTGAGAGATTCCTTCCCAGGGCTGCAAGCAGATTGTTTTACGCTCTTTGCCAAACTGAGTGAAGCACATTTTTCAGGAAATTCCTGCAGGCGAAGCGAGGAACGCAGCGTACTTTTGAGTCAGCAAATGGAGTAACTGTGCACACAGTTGCCTAGCTGCTGTCAGCATTTTGACTGGTGAATTTTGTCTTACTTACGCAATCATTCCCGTTGTTCGGCATTCATCTGCACTGGCACTGGGTGCTAACTGCAGCTAGCTTGTCCCCAAGAGGGCCCAGGGACCCATCCCCAGATGTCCATCACAACAGGCAGAACATTTGACAGGACTCAGGAGCACCTGAAGGACATGGGAGTGGGCTGGCACTGCCAGAGGAGCCTGTGCACCTCTCCTGAGCATTTGGCTCTTCCTAGACCTAGGCAGGGAACGTGCATAGGCTTACCTGATCCAAGCAGAAACAAACTAAAGCTGTTGTCTTGCTTCTTGGTGGGTTCTGCTAGACCAGGAGAGAGAAGGTAGGTCTAGTTCCCCCCTTTGTTTGTGCTTCATCTTGCTGTCTGGTTTGCCCCCGTTGGACCAGAGCTTGGGTGGAATAACTTCAGCAAGATTTCTCTGAGATAGCTCAGTAGCTTGTTTTTCCCTGTCTCTTCTCCTGTAACTCCAGCCTGGAGTTACAGGAGTTCCCTGTCCTAGGAACTCCAGCTTGCCTTGTTCCTAGCAGACATGGAGGCTTGAGTTGCAGGTTACATGTAAGATGTGCTCTATAACAGTGTAGGAAGTGGCATCTTTCCCATTTCCTTTCAGTGCTCTCTTGTACTCAGCCCTGTCCTTGTTTCAGTTTCTCTCCTCTTTCTTTCTGGTTTCACAGTGAACAGCTAGGACTACTGTTCCTGGCTGTTCTTTGTACTTGGAGCATGTGTTTTTTCTTTACTTTTCCATATTATCAGCTCTCTGATTTCTGCTGTTGTTCCAGCACTGTGCACCTTTTCCTGTCCTACTCTTTTTTTCATGCCAAACTAGGAGCTTTGCTTTTCCCTGGAATATTCTAGTTGCCCCATTTTAAAAGGCACAGCAGAAAAAACAGTCCTAGATCAGTGGTATAGAGACTGAAAACATGGAACCATTTTCAGAGTAGAGGATGATAAATAAAGGAGAAATGTCATGTGAACAGTTAAACTTCTGGAGTAGAAATGGCAAACTGTACTCCTGTCTGTGCCGGGCTGTGCTAGGAGAACAGAAGTGTTCAGTAATACAGCTAATCAAAAGATACTTTTTCATGCAAATAATGATTCACCAGTAAACTTTCTGCCACCAGACATCTCCGAACCCAAGAACTGTATCAAATTTAAACCCTTAGGAGGTTTGTGAATACAAAATGCACTAATAAGTCTGTTGAGCTACCCTGACAGGTCTGTCAACCCAAACTCAAAGCAAGTGGGACAGGGAAGGCTTCAGGTTTGTGTTACTCTATATATTATTGGTGACACAGAAGCTGAAACTGTTCCCTGCTGCTAGGAGGGAGGAGGAGGGGGCGAAAAAAAAAGCAAGCTCCATTATTATCTGTTTGTGAGTGAATTTGTGCATACCTGTGCCCTGGGAGTGTGGTTATTTCTAATTGTAGCTTTGATGCTTTTCCTTCCTGTCTGCCAGGTTTGGTCACTGGCCATGGTAGCCACTGATCTCTGTCTTGGACCGAAGTCTGACCCAGATTTGGAGATACCTTGGGCACAACATCCATTTGGACGTCAATTACTGGAGTCCTTGTAGGTGTCTGAATGCCAGGGAGGGGTTGGGGAATAGTTGCTGAAGCAGAGCCCTCCACAACTATGTACATTGTATGAATCATTTCAGACTTGGAATAGGGCCACAGCTTGGGTTTTTTGGGTTTTTTGGGGTTTTCCCCCCCCCCCCCCTCAAGCCTGAGATGCATCAAGAAGGGAGGCTGCAAGTGTGTTTATGGCATGCAGGAGGCAGCATTTGGCCTCCCATCTAGCACCCTGGTTGTCTTTGGCTAACATTGAGTAATAGGAGCTCTGCTTTCCAGCACGCCTGCAATGCCTGACTTAGAGATTTTGGTTTTCTGCTCCCCACCTCCTAAATGAGTGTGTTGGTGCAGCTGATTTGTTCACCTTCAAACTCACTGTTGCCATATAGCATTAAGTGGGAAGTCATTCTGGCTAGTTTCAAAGCCAAGTGTTAGCTGCAAATGTCCTCCTGCCAGTGAATCTGTTCAGGAGGGGACATAATTAGTAATTGATATTATCTGTTGATATACCCGATGGGGAGGCACAGGCTTTGCATGGTGTATTTTGCATACTGTTGCTTGACCTTAGCTCTTTCCTGCTGTGTGGCAGCAGTGGGAGGGGAGGACAGGTAGTTCTTTATCACTCTGAGTCTTCAGAGCAATCTAGAAATGTCACAGCCATCCAGAAAACCTGTGATGGGGTTTTGCCTTGTGACCTAGACATGGAATGCTTGCATGTAGAGGGTTTTGTCAGAAAGGCATTATGGCTGGGGGCAAGTCTAATGGCTCCAGCTTTACATCCGGTTAACATCAGTTCTATGGATGTTGTTCCTGAAGCTGCACAAACTTGGGATAATCAGGCCACGAGCACTGCTGGATTCCCAGAGCTCCCATCTTTTTCCCGCCTGTTAGGCCACAAGTGTTTTCAGAAGGAAGACTTGGCTCCTCAAAGGTGTGATTGGAAAAGACAGCGCAGTCCTGCAGAGTGCACAAGCCTCCCGTGGACAGTAATGTGACCCAAATCGATTTTATGCAACAGGCTGGAAATTAGTTGCCCTGGAGTCTCTGATGCTTTTGCCACTGAATTCTGCTTAGTCTCATACTGTCTGTCTTTTTTCCCAGGTTGGCTCATTACTCGCAGCTCCATGATGTGCAGACCCTGGCCATGCTCTGCAGCGTGTTTGAAGCCCAATCCAGGCTACAGGGCTGTCCAAACTCCTACGGCCCTTTTCCTCAGCGTGCCTCCAACCTGGCCTCCCACAGCCGATATGTATGATCACCATTTCTTTCCTATTTGTCTGGGATATCTTTGAACATCTCTCATGCAGCTGACATGATTTCCTCTCCTTTCCGCTTCAACAGCCCAGCTTTACTTCCTCTGGCTCCTGTTCCAGCATGTCAGATCCCGGACTTGGCACCGGAGGCTGGAGCATAGGTACTGAGACCTGGGTAGTAAATAGAGGACTCTCCCTCCCTTCTGGCCTAGGTTTTAGATGGCTCCTGTGGTGGGGAAGGAATGGAGTTAGTACTGGCAGTGATTGCAGATGTGCTCTGCCAGAGCAGCTTTCCAGGATTTGGCCAATGTGATGTGACTCCATGGCTGGAATTGAGCAGGGCTTGCAGTAGCCATGTCAATGCTCTCGCAGACCTGCCCCTTCTGACTTCTTCGGCGTGCTGTCTGACTGGGCTGTGAAAAAACTGTTACAAACACTCTAGACATACTGAGCTAGGTCCCTGGATCGCAGGTTAACCCAGAGCCAAGAGCTTCCACTGCTGCCTTTGCCAGTTGGAGACAAGTAAAGAGACAGACCAGTTTGTTCTGTTTTGCTTCCAGCCTGGCTATAGCAAGCACGTGGAGTGACTGCCTCAGTGCTGCCTGGTGCCGTAAGCTTTCCCTAGCACTCCCCTGCACTTTGCACAGTTTGAGGCTCTTACCCATGCCAACTACTCCTGGTAATTTCCTTGTCCTTTGTGTGCCTGGGCATGGTTCCCAGGATTAGTTGCTCCATCACCTTCCCAGGGCTCGAGGTCAGGTTGACTGGCCTGCAGTTCCCTGGGTCCTCCTTCTTGTCCTTTTTGAAGACAGAAGTGACATTTCTGTCCCTCCAGTCCTCGAGCATCTCTCCCAGTCACCGTGATTGTTGAACCGTTATCAAGAGCAACCTTGCAATGTCATCAGCCAGCTAATTCCACAGGGTTCAAGGGGAAAAGTGGTGCTGTGCTTTCTCCCGTCACTGGAAAAACAGCAGCAGTTGGGAATGCTGGGTTCTTGGTGGCATGAATACCCGTGGACCTAAGGACGTTTTCTGCTGAGCTGTGAAGGTGTCAGAGACAAGTCACTCCTAAGGGCTCCAGTGTCAGAGTTGAAGCTGTTGGCTGATCCCTAGCGATGTATATGTCCTGGGGCAGCATCAGCCCCGTTAGCACCAAAGCTGTGACTTTTCAGTGCCATATCAAGGCATCTGTGACACGAGGAAGAGCAGAGAATGGGGGTTAACAGAGATGATGTTGTCTTGTAGTGGTTATTAGCAGTCTTCTCCCTGCCTCCAGGGCAATACCTTCCATACAGAGGCCCCTTTGTGTAACAGCAGCCCTGGTGAAGAGAGTCTTCCCTGGCTAGGAAAGAGGAACCTGGCCTGCTGGGAATAATGTCCCCAAGCAAACTCCATGGGATTGATTGCCTGGATACTTTCTGTCTAAAGTGGAAGGCAAAAGGGATTCTTCCATATTAGATTTCTCTGCCTGATGGTCCCCATTCCACCCTGTGGATGGAAGTGTAGTAGAAGCACTTGGCAAGTAGAGGTTGGTACTTAGTTTTCTAAGGCAGGGCAGTGTTTGTAGGAATGCAGAAGGTGATACGACCATGCCTTAGGGAGAAAACTGGGGTGTGCGAATGTGTGGTCTTCCATTTCCTTCCCCGCCCTGGTTTTGAGGAGGTTGTGCTGGTGAGCGCTATGCTTTCTGAGGTATGCTCACAACCTCTTGATGCTTGCAGCGAACAAAGACACGGAGCAGGCCTCCACTCCCTGGTGTGAGTCTTCTCCAGATGACTTCCGCTACGGAAACCTAATGTATCCCGATCATCGGGAGCGTGAGAAAGACCAGCATGAGAAAAACAAAAGGTAGGTTATAGCGTGCCTTGGGGATATTCAGAGATGCCTGACTCTGTGCCCAAGTCACCTGGAACTCTATAGCCAGGTCTCTCCTCGTGCTGTGAAGTAGCACAGCTGCTCCTAGACCTTTTCATTCAGATAGTCATTTGGAGAAGTGTCACACTGCACTTCAACTCTGCTGGGATTGCATCTATAAGTGGCTGTGGTGGGGACCCCAGATGGTAGTCCACCCATTCGTCACACCCTTGAGTGTAAAACAAGCGAAGGCCAGACCAGTTAGCGCTCAGCAATGTTTAAGCAACACGTGGGAAGTAATCCGCTGCTCTTCTAGCGATGTGAGCTGGTTGCACAGCCATCGCTGGGAAGAGGATTGCAATCAGTGTCTCTGAGAGTCAAGCAGGTGGATGGCAAATCTGTTTGTTCCTCTAGGCTCCTGGATCCTGCCAACACTCAGCAATTTGATGACTTTAAGAAGTGCTATGGCGAAATCCTTTATCGCTGGGGCCTGCGAGAGAAGCGGGCTGAGGTTCTGAAGTTTGTCTCTTGTCCTCCTGATCCCCACAAAGGAATTGGTGAGTGCCTGCTTTGGTCTGCTCCGGCTGCCCAGGCAGAGTCACAGTTCTGCCTCAAGAGCTTAGGAACATGCACTCAAGCAGGCAGGATGAAAAGTGTCCATCGGTCTGCCCTGAGGTTAACTCTGCCAGCAAATGGTTTTAGCTTCTTTGCAGCTCTGGGTGAAGACGAGGCTTGCAGATGTTGGTTCAAGGGCTTTGTAGACCATAACATCTCTCCAGCAAAGCTGGAAACACACTGCTGCTGTGCTAGCAGTGTCCAGCTATTTATGCTGATGGCTATTCTTTATTCCATCTGAGTAAGAGTCCAGACGTGCACTGTCCTAATCTCTGATTCTGGGCTGAAGTGTCCTTATAGTGCATGCATAAAATTACAAGATCGCTAACTGTGGGTGAGTTAGCCAAGAAATAGGCAAATAGAACCTTTCTCCCAGAATATTTTCAGAAGCGTAGCTGCCCAGAACTGGCACTTGAGGACAGCTGCCGAAATGTCTTCTTCCTAGGTCTCTGGGAGGAGAGGAGCAGGTGAGAGATGCCAGAGAAGCGGTGGTCGCTTTGCTTAGCTCTTGTTCCAGTCTCACCTCATCACCAGGGACTCCTCTGGGGAGAAACTGGAGTGAAAATTGGTGACTTCGACCACTGCCATTGCCGCCCCGTGGCTAACAGTCATGACACTGATACCGCACACACTGAGCGTGCTCTGTGCTCTCTCTGATGAGAAACAAAGGCCATTCTCGTTTGCTCTTAGTTACGCTTCATAGTGATGAGAGGCAGATAAAGCAGCGGGAAACCTTCATCCCTGCAGCATATGTCAGCGTGTCCCAAGCTAGAAATCTGAGACACGTTCCCAGCCGACGACTGTTTAGCTGTCAGTGGGCCAGTCTGCGCCCTGGCACAGATTGCCCGTGTCTTTGCTCCTGTATCGAGACCAAACTGTCTATAAGATACCATTCTCCCACGCTGAGGAGATATTGAGGCAGGTCTCTTGGGCAGGGGACGCATCTGTCAGACGGGGTGGCGAGGGAGAGCTGTATGCAGGGCTTCTTTGTCCACAATTCTGCCAGCGCTAATTGTCTTGCTCTCTGTTTCTTTTCCTCCCGCCAGAGTTCGGCGTGTACTGCAGCCACTGTCGCAGCGAGGTGCGTGGCACCCAGTGTGCCATCTGCAAGGGCTTCACCTTCCAGTGCGCGATCTGTCACGTGGCGGTGCGAGGCTCTTCTAATTTCTGCCTGACCTGCGGACACGGAGGCCACACCAGCCATATGATGGAGTGGTTTCGCACCCAGGAGGTGTGTCCCACGGGCTGTGGATGCCACTGCCTGCTCGAGAGCACCTTCTGAGCAGTGGTGACAGCAGGGCGCCCATGAACTAGATTTAATATTTAATTCCCAAGCCATGTTGAATCAGCTCTGCTCCACAGCGTCTGGAGGAGATGCCACAGGGAGCTGAAGCAGGATGTCCTGGCGGGGCACTGCAGTGACATTTACAAGTGCTTCCAGTATTCCTATGCTTCCCAAGTTGCTTTCAGACTGATTTGACCAAACTCCCTGTGTCCATTGCTGGCGATGGATGCCAGACCAGAAAAATTGCACTCTCCTGCAGAAGGGTGTGTGAATATTGGCTAGTCTCCGTTGGGATGAGAAGGTGTTGAAAAGCTCCTGTGGGAAGGGCTCACCTGGCAGAGCCAAACTCACTCCAGCTACTTAGTGTCTTTCCAGATGCCTCCTTACAGGGCCTCAAAGTGAGCAAAATAGTTGTCTTTGCACAGTTAAGGCAGAAATAATTTGCAAGCAACAGTGAGCTCTACAGGCAAACTGTAAACTGTGCTCGAAGAGCAAATACTCCATGGGACTGTGCTCAGAGCTATTTTTGAAAGCAACAGCGTCCTTATTTTGAATGGCTGTTTACGTCGTTTAGACTACCCCATAAAGCAAGAGAATGAAATTACATTTTTCAGGATTACTTCCTAAATAGCTTCCTACTCACTGGTCAGTATCTGTGGCCAGTGTGAAAAGCACAGCTGCGCACCCAAGATCATGAGGATTAGTCGCTTTCTTCCAGCAGTTCTAATACCATTACTCTTAAGGTGTCTCTATCTTCTGCTCTGACCGGGTGATATAATGCACTTTAACTTGCCTGTCCCTGCCTTGTCCGTGATGTAGCCTGCTGACTGGGAAAGGCATTTGCCTTTTGAGTTTGGGATCCATGCAGTGTTTCCATGGATGGTGGCATCTGATGGTGTTTCAGAAAGCCTTTGCTTCCTTACTGAGAAAACGTAAGGAGGATGCTTGCTCCTTTTGGCCGTTTTCTCCAGGATCTACTGGGGGAATCAGTGAATAATTTGAGATTTGCTGCCAGTGTGCTGGAGTGACAAGGCTTCTGAGCTGGGGAAGCAGCAATTTCTAGGGGAGAATGGGTTTTGGAAGTTTGGTGGGATTCATGGAGGCAAAAGGCTTGTGCCTTTTCTCCCTGTATGGAGAGAATGTACTGCATTCGGTCTGTCTGTTTGGGGCTGTGCCTGCTGGGTCTCCCAGACTGGGGACGCTGCTGTGCCACTGCCTGTGTGGTTGTGTGTGCACCCTGAGCATGCAGCCTCTGCCTCTCTTGAGCAGGCTTGAGTCTGAGCTTTGGCTTTGGGCAAATGTGTGGTCAGGGATGAGCCCACTGGAGCTGGTGCTGGTCCCTTCCTTCTGCCCTTGCCGGCTGAGCAGGGCCACGGGCTGTGCCCGCACCCAGCCTTTGTGCTGACTCAGGCTGTGGGATCCTGCTGTGGAATAAACAGGTGGGGTATCTTAAGCATTAAAACATTAAAACTATTTTTTTAAGTGCTATTCTGTTACAACTGGTGTCACTCTGCTAGCTCTCCCTTTGTGGGGAGCTCCTGGCAGCTCTCCCTCCAACTGTGTCAGTTGGCGTTGCACCTCCACGGCCCTCTCCCTGCACCCCACAGCAGGGGACCACCTCCGGATACCTGTGCCCTGGGGGGCTCACCAGCTGCTGCCAGGACCCCGCAACCGTGGCTCTTGCTGCAGTTGTGCAGGGACAGTGTGCCAGCATGTGTGGCACCGCTATGCCAAGTCGGCCTGGGCACTGCCTACAGGTTGTGATGCACCTCTTGCAAAAACGAAGCTGGGTGGTGTCTGAGCTGCCGGCGAACTGAACCCCGTGTCCTGCAGTTCGGGGAGGCCCCGGGCAGCGTCTGTGCCCCCAGCAAGCAGGCAGGCATGCTCAGGTCCTGCCCGATGCCACAGCGGGCGCTCTGGCGGATGCCACGCTGGCCCTCGGGCAAGGGTGCTCTCAGCCTGGAGACGCGGGGAGAGGGCTCACACCCTCTGCCTTCCTACGTGACAGCCATTCAGCTCGGAAGTATTTTCATTTCCATGCTTGAGTGCGTTGGAAAGGAGACTTGTTATTTAAAGGTGGCGGACCGACAGATCGTGGGATTTATGTGTGTTATTACAGTTCATTACAGTCTATCTCCATAGTATCTGAATACCTCTGAGGTGGAGGGCGGCTGGTGCTTCAGAGGAAGGCAGAAAAGCACTTGCCCTGGCTGTTTGTGCAACCCTGCACAGGGAGGTGGAATTTCTTCCCGGACGCTGCGGGCATTTGTCTCACACCCTGCAGCATGTGTGGTGATTGCTTTGGGAGCGGTCGTGTTCAGTGCAGAAGTGACTAGTGCAAGGGAACAGGAATGGCTTATTCTCACCTGCCTGGAGGCCGTCGGGAAGGGAAATGCATTGCCTTAGCTGCGCTCAGCAGCCCCTATCTGCATTAAATGATCGGAAATGGGGCGTGCTGTGGCGCTGGTGACCCACATCAGCCCCTTCAACATGCTTTGCCCCCCAACTGCTTGTCCTCTTACCCACCTGCTCTTTGGAATAACTTGGTAAAATGCAAAAAGTTCCCAAATATGGCCAAACCTCTCTCTGAATTTCAGGCTTTAGAGAAGGGAGCGGGAGGGGAAGAGGAGGCAGGCAGTGCTGGGAAAGCAGGTGTCTGCACAGAGCGTGCCAGTTTGCACTGAACCAGCTCTGGGGATGCCGCCGTGGTCGGACCAGGCAAATCCAGCATCCAACTGAAGGACAATGCCGTGGACCATGGTCAGTCGTGCACGCCGGGGAGGGGGGTGACCCCCTCGTGGTTTCTGCTTGGGGCAGGAACCAGGGGGCATCAAATTAAACTGGCTTCTTGGGGTGAGGCAGGAGCGAACTCTGCAGGCCGCGTGGGAAGGGTATGAAACCACTTCCCTCGGGGCATCACTGGTGCCACAGGTTTGTCAGGGCTCCAGGAGCAACCGGGCACTTCCAGGGAGGGAAGCTCCATCCCAGATGACCACCGATGCTTGCTGTTGGCCGGAGACTGCTGCCCGTACATCCCCGGCCGGCAGCGCTCTGCGGAGATGCTGCTGCAGTTTGTGCCTGCCCTTGCGCCCTTCCCTGCCTGGGGCTGCTGGCCACTGCAGAGGAGGCCGAGGGGGGGGACCTTTGGGCTGACCCCAGGTAGGTGCTTTGGCAAGACTCGCTTCAGCTGCCTGCTGAGCGCAGCCCCAGGGCTGTTACCAGTGCATCCGCGCTGGCTTTCCCAAGGATGGCTGGAAGAGAAAGCTCCTATGCCAGCCCGTGCTGTGCCCTTGAGGCCACTGTCGGCTTTATAAACCCTTTCTGTGCTCCGCAGAGCCAGCAGCGGTGTAACAAGGGCAGGGCACCGTCCCTGTCCTCGCTGAGGCTCTCTGTCCATGGAGAAGGAAATTTAATCCCTGATGATCAGAGTTTGGCAGAGAAACGAGGAATGATGGTATCGGAGAAGGTGCCAAGGAAAATCTTTCCCTGTGGATGCTGCCTCTTGGCAGTGTCTGTATCGGTCCCCTCCTCCTCTGCGGCCACAGCCCCATGAACCCAGCGTCAGCCTGTGCCAGTGCTGCAGGGCCTGATCCTGCCCAGAGCCCAGCGGCGCATTCTTGCCGTCTCCCTTGCGCCGGCCCCAGCGTCTGTCCGTCTGTCTGGTGGGTAAACCAGTTCAGGAACTGATGAGCCAAAACGATTTGGCTGCTCTCGTTTCGGCCAGGCTGATCATCAGCGAGCTCCACTCCCCAACACTGCTTGCCCCAGGGGCCGGGATGGGGTCGGGAGTAGGGACTCGTGGCCATTGGCAAATTTGGTGCTGTTACAGCACTGTCTGCCATACAGCTTGGTCTCAGCACCCTGCCAGTGCCACCAGTGCTTGGTGCATCCCTGCTGCAGGGAGTGACTGGGTCCCCTGCCCACCCTGGGGACACCCCTGTTCCTTGGTGGAAGGGGGAGGGATAGAGCCCCACCACAGAGCCCGGGTGCCATCAGCACCCTGTAATGAGAGCAGACAGGGTGTCAGCTCACAACCGGCTCGCTGATGTCCCCGAGCCCTGCTGCAGTGGAGCTGGGGACAGCTCGGGAGAGGACGGCAGCAGAGACCACCGGTGCACCCAGCAGCTTTGCACCCTGTGCTGTGCCACAGAGCCCGGGACTGGTAAAGGCTGGACCCATCTCTGCCCCGAGCTGGGACCACAAGGGAGCCCCTGTAGTGGCCTTCTGCAGCACGCAGTGCCCAAGGGACCTGGATGCCCCTGAAACCCAGGTATGCAGTGCATGCCCCTGGCTCCTGGGCCATCACTGAGGGCCTCTCCCTTGCCCTCTTCGCCCACAAGTGCTGGCTGGGGCGTGGGTGGGAAGGGAAGGAAATGCCTTTCCCTGGTTTCACCGGCCCCTGCGGCTGTGGGGAGAGGCTGGGATGGAGTGGGAAGTGCTGGGGGCCATGGGACGCAGTGGCAGGGATGGGCTGCAAAGGACATCCCAACCCACGCCGCTGGCAGGACTGGCTAGGGAGGAAGCATGGTCGGTGGGGATGGTGTGGTGGGGTCATGGCTGGGGGCCCCTTCTGCCTCCCCCAGCACCCCATGATGGGGTGGTGGCCGTCGTGCCTGCCCTGGGCATGCTTGGGGGCTGGGGTGCCCAACTGTTTTGGGATGTGGGTGCAGTGGCCTCCAGCTGAGCACCCTGGCTTGCCTGGATCCGCCTCCACCCCCACCTCGCCCCC